TATATCCAAACTTACATATAGTAATTGCCCAAAAAGTTACATCGGTCAAACTGGTTAACTGGTAGAACCCTAACAAACGTGTATTAGGACACAAAAGGGCTTTCAATAATAGAAAAATAGATTCTAGGTATGCACTTTGTCGTTTAGATGATAATAATTCTTTTAATGATCAATTTTGAATTCTCCATATTGAAAATAAAGGCCTTGAGCTATCTTCATTAGATATGGGAATTAATACATAAAAAAATACAGATGTAATTCTGAATGAATAATTGGACAAAAACAACTCTCCACCCTTCAGCTTATTCAGTTAAAGACTATGAAGTGTAGATGTATAGCAAAAATACATCAATTGAAAAAGGTATTCTGCCAAAAACACTATAGTGATATTAAATAAATCATTAATTTTGTTGAAGTGTTGAAAATAAAAGCTTTCAATCTTTTATTGGTAAATAAGGCGTTGGATAAAGTAGGTCAAAAACAGCTGATCGAAGTCTTAAAAGCAAAACAAATAGACTACAAAAACCATCAGATCATAAACAATCTATATTTGAAACAACGCGTAATCGTACGTCTTATTGGAAAAGTGCTGGAATGGGAGTCAATGGAATGCCATTACCAACATTGGGTATTCAAAAAATAATACTGTTATTTTCTCAAAAACTCGCGAAGATTTGCAGAGACTGATGAACAATTTGTAAGGTTATAAACTTTTTTTACTCTCTTACTAGTAAATTGTATATTACCTACTATTTGGATGCTAAGTAAATGCATCATAACAGATACTGACACGTAATGACTAGCACGTAATAAAAAAAATTACGCTTCAGTTTTATAAAAATGTGTAATATCACATAAGCCTCGTAAGTCAGTTGGTCGAGTTACCATGGAAACGAATTAACAGACGTTATTTTGACAGATTAAAAATTATCAATCTGTCAGTGTAAATATAGTGGTAATTTAATTTTTATTTTTATAAACGAAAATAATCGTAGAAAAAGTATAGTACATAACTTGAGTTGTAAGCTTATTACATGCTTGTAAAATTACTGCGCTCGCCGCTACGCGGCTCGCGCGCAACTTTTTTACTCGCATGTAATAAGCTTCTTACAACTCTCGATATGTAATATACTATTACATGTTTGTTATTTTTCTTTATTTCAATTTTTTTTGTTTTGTTAACTTTCTGGTTTGTTTTACTCTTTTTATCCTAAAAATAGTTACCGCCCAACTTTTCTTTAAACTAAATATATTGTTTAACCATAATTGTTCAATGTAAATTTTTATTTATTATAAGTCTATATTTATTTCTATCTATCTATCTAATTAGCCTTCTTCGGTCCATCTTTGGACATAGCCCTCCCCAATCCTTTTCCATTCTTCTCTGTCTGTCGCTAAGGTCATCCATCTAGAGCCCATGTGCTTCTTGATATCATCTGCCCATCTCATTTGGGGCCTTCCTCTGCTTCGTTTATATTCCCACTGTCTCCAACTTATAAGAATTTTGTTCCATCGGTCTTCTTTTTGTCTTATATTGTGTCCGGCAAATCTCCATTTCAATTTTGCAACTTCTTGTCTAACATCCCTCACTTTTGTTTTCTCTCTTATCCACTCGTTTCTCTTCTTATCCATTAGTCTTATGTGCAACATTTGTCTTTCCATTGCTCTTTGGGTTTTTATGATTTTGTCCATGTTTGCTTTTGTAAATGTCCACGTTTGGGAGCCATACGTAAGAACAGGGAGTATGCATTGATTATATACTTTGGTCTTAAGATGCTGTGGATATCTTTTGTTTTTAAGAATGTAGCTTAGTTTGTAGCTATATTTATTTATTCTTTGTTTATCCCATTTATGAACTTCCTCCAACTTTCAAATAGTTATAAAAATACTCTTTTGTTGTTAACTCTACAGTCTGGTAATCATTGCTTCAAAATAACAAAAGCAGGAATGTATCTTTCATGTATTTAAACTAGAATTTTACTTCCTAAACCCATAGTCTACCATTGTTACTGATAAATTCATAGTATCCTATTGTGTTTCCATATTTTGGTGGGACTTTCCAATAACCACGTGTGGACCACAAAGCAAGCTTACAATCTTAGCTCCTACCATCATGGACCAACAAAAAAGTTGAAAGACAGAGCCCTGCAGTGGTATGGTCATGTACAAATAATGCAAGAGCACAGGTGACCAAAACGGATATTAGATTGGTACCACCCAGAAAGAAGACTGAGGAGAAAAACTGCTACAAGATGAAAAACGTAGACAAGAAATGCTATGCTAGATAGAGAAAGTGATTAGGAGAATAGAGTACTGTGTAGAACGAAAAAGGCGAACTCGTAATGAAATAAAAACCAAAGAAGAAGAAAAAGAAGGATATTTCTTTGATTACGTAATTTTATATCTTTAATCGTGTTACGGACAAAAGAAAGCAGAGAAAAAATTATGTTCTATTCTTTGTTTCAAGTTAAGAAAATAGCATTACGCTTCTGGAGATCAGTGTTGCCAAAACTCTCAGGCAATCTCTTTTGCACGGATGTCCAAGATATTCCCTTTGCTTAATTTTTGAATTTTCATTTTCAATTAACATTTAACTGTAAAGTCAGAATTACTACTAAATAAAAGCCTTATTATCATTATGTAGTCAGAGAACGACATAAAATCGCTGACATACGCACATCGTATTATTTTAAGTTGCAATTAGTAATTAGATATACGCATTCCAAGCGGTCCGTTTATTTGCTTTTAAAACTTTGCTAAATAGGCGGCAAAATGCATGATTTAACTAAGCAATATTTTCTACTGATTTCTATGATTCATGGCATATTGTATTCTCACCGAAAAACAAATAAACTGTCGTTACTATAATTAAAATAAGATAAAATAAAATTATCTTTTTAAAGAGAAATATCAAAATCCACCAACTATTTTTTATAAGATAAAGTTAATTTCAGCTAACCAACTTTAATGTTATTGGGTTCTATTTGCTTTTTGAATTGATGTTTGTTTGTTTGTATATGATCTCCAGTGCATGTGTTGTTATCAACTTCATTAAAACTTTTTAATATCGATGAAAAGAATAGATTGATTCACGCGTTGGATGATGCAAGACTGAAATTGCTGTTGTTTTCATACAAAAAAAAATGAAATGCCCCATGGACTAAAATCCCGAATTAATATTTTTTAAAGGCATATCATCCAGATTTTGTAAAAAATATTCGAAAAAAATTGTATTATTTATTCAAAGCAAACATAAACTTATTCTAAAACATATAGGAAAATAGAAATGTTTCTAAAGTAAAAATCATAATACGTGTATCACATTTTGCTACCCAAGCGACTCATATATATTGAGCAGACCAGTAAAAGAAACTACCACCGAGAAGACTCTACACCTGGAAGTCAAATGCAGAATCAGAGGACAAAATTATTAGGAACCAAATCGACTTCATTCTAATAAAAAATCGATTTAGAAACTGAATCAAATCAGTTAAAACTTATCCAGGTCCTGACATTGGGTCCGATCACAATCCCATAGTAGCTGTCACCCAATTAAAATTAATAAAGGTGATCAAAAAGAAGTCTCGCAAAAATATGGATACAGTCCAATTACGTCCAAAGACGAGTAAGTTAAGGAATCAGTTCAAAGACAACTGAACGAAAATTTAATTTGGGAAACTACTCTACTAACACAAACTACACGACGTGATAGTGTCGTTGAGAGTTGTAGGGAGGCAGGTCTGGATCTGAACATACGGAAAACCAATCGTAATAAGTAAACAACAGCATATAAAACCGTCTATATATGTAAATAATACCAAACTTGAGCAAGTTGACAAAATTGTTTACATTGTACAGCAATTAAATTGTAAAGCAGAAAGTCACAGCGAAATTAGATCTCGGACAGGGCAGGCTAGAGCTGCTGTTGGAAGGATGTCCAAGGTGTTATGTAACAGAGACCCAAAATTGGCATTGAGGATCCGCTAACTTCGCTGCTACGTATTCTCGGTCTTACTTTATGGTATCGAGTCCTGGACTGTGAATAAAATCGATCTAAATCGCCTTGAGGCTTTCGAAATGTGGTGCTATAGAAAAAATTTACAAGTTTCCTGGGTGGAGAAGATTCAAAACTCCACAACACTAGAACGTCTCAGTAATACTACTGATATCATAAAAAGCATCAAGCAGAGAAAGCTGGAGTATTTCGGACATGTAATGAGAGGTCCCAAATATTGGTTGCTACAAAATATCATGCAAGAAAAAATAGTCGGCAATTGAAGTCCAGGACGAAGAAGAACCTCATAGTTGAAGGACTTGCGAGATTGGTATGGTGTTGATATAAGTTTAGGGTGGCTATGATGGTAACCAACGTTCTGAAAGGACATGGTACATGAAGAAGAAGTGAAAGAAAACCGAGAAGATTTCGTTTTCATTCGATTTCACCGTACATAATGCGCTGTAACACCTCGTAATTTTTATTTCAAAGTATGTGCCGTATGTGTTGTCTTTCTATTTTTAATAGTGATCAAAAGTTCTCTTTCTCTTTTCAGTCTCTGCACTACCATTTCGTTCGCTAAAAAGTCACATCTCAAAAACTTCCAGCTTTCTCATTAAGTCAATATTATCAGTGCCAGTCAACAGTCCATGAATCTTTGCTTTCTTAGACATTTCCTCCTCTCCAAAAAGGCTGCGCTGGATTTTTAAAATTTGCGCTTTGTCCGTAACTAATCTATCAATTAAAAAAAAATAAAAACTTATATAAGTAACGAAAACCCTTTCCAAATTTATGAGTCATTGGTCCATCGTAAATATTTGTAGGGGTTGCAACTCTCTTACAGAGTTAGTATTAAGAATTACTTTTGCATAATCTTTTGTCTCTTGGTATATAAAAATCGACCAGTTTTTGTTTCAAACTAACAGTCTCAAACCATCACCATTTCCAAAATGATTACACTATGAATTTATTTTTTTGAATGCCGTTCTTACACTTTTTTTTTCAGGTATTAATCCTTGCATAAGCGTTCACTGTGTGGCTGGAGAAGAATGCATCATCAACAAATTTGGAATTGCCCATTGCCAGTGTGCAGACACTTGTGAGCCCGTTATGAGACCTGTTTGCTCTAGAGATGGAAGAACGTTTCCTTCGGAATGTGAGCTGAAGAGAACGGCCTGCCTAACAAGAACAAACATGAAAGTAGCATATACAGGTTAGTTAACCATCAGATTCCTTTTATGTTTTACTCAAGTTGACTTTGATCTTCTCATAATTATTGAATTGGACCATTTTTAAATTTTTTCTTTAATCTTCCCACTATATAGCTTCTGCTTTTGAAATTAATTTCGGTTATTCTAGTTTTTTTGTGGTTTCGTTTGTACATTGCTCAATTCTTCGCTCAATATGCGCACACTGTTTTAATGTATTACTACTACTGGGAACAGCAGGAGGTTTATTTGTACTGTCGATGGTGACGTGGTTTGTGTGGTGGTTGGCGTGGGGTTAGCGTGGGGATTGGCGCGGGGGTTAGTGCGAACATTTCTCACGGCAGGATTTTAATTTGGGAATAAAGCGGATGATATTTTCTTTATGAGAGGTCTCCAAGTCGAAGGTAACCGGATGTTGTCATCTCTTTCATATTGAGGCAATTTGACATTTTTTCATATTAATGGGGCTATGGTTCTGGAAATTTCAAAATCAATTTTGTGACCGGTACGAAGATTGTGTTGATCCAGAGCTAAAATTGAATCGGAATTGCGAACAGAAATAGAGTGTCCATAAATTCTATTTTGGATTCTATGATTTGTTTGGCATATATAAGATCGCTAAATAAGATTGGGGAGGCAATCTGCACAAGGAATTTCATTGTGCACTCCTTGTTGTTCATTTGGAATGTCGTCTTTGATTGATCGGACAAAAGATGAAAGTTCTTATCGGGGTATAAAGATTGTTTTTATTCCGTTAGATTTAAGAATCGTTAATTTAAAATTAAGTGGAAAATTTATGCCTGTGGATGCTCCTATTCATGTGATTTTCGTTGTAACCGTTTTGTATACACATACATACATTTTGTTTGCAAAATATTGCCAAAACGGTCGTAATTAATTAAACAAGAAAAATTATTTCTGGATTAACTATATGTGCATATCACCCTAGATAGTTTACAATACCCCATCCTCCCCTACCTTACCTACTGAATCTGGTTATAATGGATCTAAGCTAATGAAAATAATAATAATATGAATATAATATTCCATATTCTGATCGTCTAAATCATCCATAAACAATTTAAATACAATCAGTCGGGTTATCTTTGATCCACTTTTTAAATATTTTCTTGATCTATTTTTATATTGACCTCCTTAGTTGTTCTTTTATATTATATTATGATTATGTGTAGTTTGATAATGTCATACAAGCTTAGACATTTGCAACAGTAGCAAGTATAATCAAGAAAAAAATTTTTTTGGTATAGTTCAAAGTTAGACCCGCTATGGGTATAACTGTCTACCGTCTAACTGGGAAAATGGGTCTACCGTCCCATAAAAAACTTGCTAATAACTATGGGATTGAAGCTACCTGGACCAATTCTCAAACAGGAACAAAGGAAACCATTTCCATAAACTGGGACGACAATTAAAGACGCAAACTAGGTTGGAGCAAGCAGAACGACAAACAAAGCTGGTGGCTATATACTACTTTCAAATTTCCATAAGTTTCCGGTATACTGCACAAATCTTATGGTGGTTACTCTCTTCTAAAATGCCATTATTGCAAAGAGTAAAAAAATCACCTTGACCGGTCTTAAGACGTTACACAAAAAAATGCCTCTGCCTCACTCTCTTAATCCAATCCCGGCGAGGGCGACCCTTTTTCTTTACCTCTCCCACATACATTTCTTGTTTCTAAAGCAAGCCTCGATTATGTCATTAGGCGACCTTGAAACAAACTACTTTTAAATAGGAAGGAATAACACGTATTATATTGATTTTTCTACGTCACAATGTATATAGAGAATTGGGGGACTTTGAATGTAAATAAGGACAAAAAAACTTGCTATATTATTGATCGTTTTAAGATTCCTTTTGTAAAAGGCAAACACAGATTTCCTGGTAATTTTTAATGCGTACTAACGAGATAAACAACTCAGGGGCGCACTACAAAATGTAAAACGCTACATTGTTAATAGGTCGCCATTCTGACTTCGGCATTGTCTTGTAGTTGCCTTAAATTATTTTCTGTTTCTATATACTCTTCTTTTCTCTTCTAATTCTTCTTTCTACATATTTAAGTTCCATGTTTAGGTGGTTTCGTTTTTTTTCGTTTTGAGTATCCTCTTTCTTCTCTTCTCTTTTTCTGGTAATTCTCTACAGTTGTGCTAGTTCGTCGGGCCTGTTGTACAGACTTAAAATAATTGTCACACAGTTTTTGGTTTAGGCCTTTTTAATACACCGTTTTTATTTATATTTTCATCCTGAAATCCGCTTACATTATATTTTTGCGTTCTAATTTTTGTAGTTGTTGTAATGTATCCATTGTTCTGAGCATTTTATCGAAGGAGACAAATATTTTCTTCTTCTTTTTGTGCCACTCCTATCGGAGATTGGAAATCATCAAGGCTATTCTGACCTTGTTTACGGCTGACCTAAAGAGTTCATTAGTGGTGCAGCCAAACCACTCTCTCAAATTCCGCAACCATGACATTCTTCTACGGCCTGGATTCCGTTTTCCTTCTATTTTTCCCTGCATTATATTTTGAAGTAATGCGTATTTATGTTCTCTCATCAGGTGACCAAAATATTCGAGTTTTCTTCGCTTTAGCGTTAACAAAATCTCTGGGTCTTTTCCTATTCTTCGTATTACTTCACAGTTTGTTATTTTTTCAACCCAACTAATCTTCAGCATTCGACGGTAGCACCACATCTCGAAACTTTCAATATCTTTCATGTTGTTCTGTTTGAGAGTCCAGGCCTCTACACCGTATAATAGCGTGTTAAATAAATAGCCTCTCAGCATTCTTAATCGTAGAGGGATGCTTATATTTCTGTTGCAGAAGAATTTTCTCATCTTTATGAAGGTGGCCCTGGCAATTTCGATACGTCTTTTTATTTCACTGTTTTGGTCTCCAGTTTCGTTTATTAAAGTTCCCAAGTATTTGTAACTTGATACTTTTTCAACTTGAGTGCCGTTTATACTAATATACGCTGGTTGTGTCATGTTTTTACTGAAGACCATATACTTGGTTTTTTTAATATTGATATTTATACCATAATTGTTGCAAGCAATATTTATGTCTGTAAGTAATCTTTGTAATTCTTCTACTGTTCTTGCAACTAGTACAGTGTCGTCCGCGTATCGAATATTATTTACAATCTCTCCATTAATTACGATTCCTCCGTTTGCTTGTAAAAGGGCTTCCTGACAGATGCTTTCACTATATACATTAAATAACAGAGGTGACAAAATGCAACCCTGTCGTACTACTCTACGTATTTCTATTGCTTGTGATGTTTCAGTTTCTATTTTGATGTTAGCTTTCTGATTCCAATATAGATTGAGAATTATTCGCAGATCTTTATTATCTATGTCCTTCCTTTCAAGAATCTCTCTAAGCTTATCATGGCGTACTCTGTCAAACGCTTTTTCAAAATCGATAAAACACGTATGTACCTCCTGATTAACGTCTAGGCATTTTTGTGTAAGAACATTCAAACCGAAGAGAGCTTCTCGAGCACCAAGCCCTTTTCTGAACCCCATCTGTGTATTACTAATATCTGACTCCAACTTTTGATAAACTCGGTTGTGGATGATTTTTAGAAATATCTTTAGTAGGTGGCTCATTAAAGATATTGTTCGATGTTCTGAACATTCTTTAGCATTAGATTTCTTTGGCAGTGTAACGAATGTAGACAACAGCCACTCTTGAGGTATAATACCAGTATTGTATATTGTATTAAATAAGTGCAATATTATACCTATTGATTCATCATTCAAGAGCTTTAGCAATTCGGTAGGAACCTCATCCGGTCCATTTGCTTCCCAGTTTTGGAATTTTTAAGTGCCATTTCTACTTCACATGTTAGAATTTCAGGTCCCGTTTCGCCATATATCAGAACAATGTTATTTCTGTTGTCCTCAAATAATTCTCTTATGTATTCACTCCATCTATTAATTTTCTCTGTTAAATCTATAATAATCTTTCCATCTTTGTTCTTAAGCAAACTTATTTGACGTCTTCTTTGGGTCCCTGTAATTTCTCTTACTTTTTTATGTATATTAAACGTGTCATACTTTCTTTCATAGTTTTCCATTTCTACACATTGTTCTGTAATCCATGATTCCTTGGCATTTCTTATTCTTTGCTTTATGTTCTTATCAACCTCTCTGTATTTTTCTGCATTATTCTTCATTTTACGTCTTTCATCCATTAGTTCTAGAATGTCTGGTGTCATCCACACGTTATGTTTGTTTGCAGATTTGGTTAGGTGTTTCTTTCCCGTAGTTCTTATTATAGTATTTATATACTTAAGTTTTTCATCTATGTTGTCTGTTCTGCGGATTTGGCTTTCTGCTACACTGAGGCTGGTGTTTATTTCTTCTATCACTGTTTGTCGTAGATGTTCATTTTTAAGCTGGCTTAAGTCTAATGCTGGAATGATGGCTTTTCTTATTTTCTTTGGTCTAGCTTCTATCACAGATACTACTGGATTATGATCCGAACCGATATCAGCTCCAGGGAAAGTTTTAGTAGATTTTACGGCATTACGGTATCTTTTTGTCACCAATATGTAATCTATTTGGTTTCTGACCACTTTTTCTTGTGTATTTTGAGGTGACGTCCACGTATATAGTCGCCTTGGGGGTAGTTTAAAGAATGTATTAGTTATTATTAAATCTTCGCTTTGACAAAACTGAACTAAACGATCACCCCTTTCATTTCTATTACCTAAAATAAATATTTTAGATGTCACTAAATAATGGTTATATCCACATTCTGCACTTCTGTAAACTCTGGTATATTTAACAACTAATTTTATTTATAGTTTTATAACGAGGTAATCAATAAGATGTTAGGTTCCCTGTATCTTGATGTCATCAATTATAATTGTTGTCATACGTTCTTTGGAATATTTGGAAGGCAATTAGTATATTAAAAGAAATAATTATATTTGTCCTTTATAAATATTATACGTTTTTAAAAATCATATCAAAACTACGTAAATTTAAATATGAATTTATAACAGTTTTTTAGCCTCAATATTCTTTTACCCACATCCCTTTTATAAATATATCGTGGAAATTTTACCATTAACCTATATAATGACTTGTGTGTTGACTTGAGAAGAAAGATGAAACACGATATTTGAATAGCTTATAGCCATGTATTTATCCCACAGGAATATGCGGCGAGAATGGTCCTTGCAGCGAGCACGAATGTCAATTTGGAGGTACTTGTATAGAGAGGGCCGGAACGGCACATTGTGAATGTCCGGAGTGTCCCGCAGAATTCGAACCAATTTGTGGTTCCGACGGAATTTCTTACAGTAATGAATGTAAGCTGAGACTGGAGGCATGTAAACATCGAAGGAATATTACTGTCCTGTATCGTGGACCTTGCAGTAAGTTTTGCTTTTCTTTCGTTATCTAGTTATTTTTACTGAAGAGAAAATATTAATAAATTTTTCGTGTATTTTTATTAAATTTAATCCTAAATTGCATGAATATGGACACTTAACAATCATTATTTGCTTTAACATAGCCTTAGTGATAAATTTTATAATTCCTCTAGACTTAAACTCATAATAAAATGTATTTCAATTTAGTATATATTATTATCGTATTGTATTGTACCGGGTGGTCCAATAAGTCGATCTCTCGGCTATATATCAGAAACTATTCATGTTATAACTTTAGGAGAAAAAATTCCTTAGTAAAAGTGGCCAAAACAAATAGCTGGAAATAACTTTCAAGTTTCTGGGTTAATCGCTAGGGGACGTAACCTGTGAAGAAAAATTTGAAAACCAGTTTTTTGTGAAATATGCCCAATTATACCAAGTGTTAAATAAGTAAACTAGAAAGAGGCCAAAATTTCCGCACTAAGATGTTCAAGTACTTTTTTTTATTTTTTCAAATAAAGGGTGGAGGAGAGTGGGAAAGTATTTGTGGATAAATACCTATAACTTTGGTTTGAATCAACCGATTTTAACGAAATTGGTGTCATTAGAAAGAGTGTAGATGATTTAACTTACATCAACTATAAAACAATTGCATTTAGTTTTAATTGTCATGGTAGAGGGTACTTTCGAATAGAAAAAATTAAAAATAGTTTTTCTTCAAAATGTTTAATGGAAACACCTATTTATTGTAAATTATAATGGAACTGGATTAAATTCGTAAGAAAATGGAGCAATCCGCATGTTAATAGCTTTTGCTAAACTCGAGATATCAATAAAAACGCAAAAAGTATCACCACTTGTGACAAAGTGATTTTGTAAGTTCTTCCGAAAAATATGTACTGCACTGGAATCAGCATTTTTCGCAGTTTGATTTAATTTTCTGTTTTTTCTTTAAATTTCTTTTCCATTTTAAAGGTTTAGCTTTCTCTCATAGACCTCTTTTTTTCTTAATTTCTTTATCTGTTAATTGTTCATTTAATAAATGTTCTTCCATACCTGCCTCAGTAATTGAGACATTTTCTTTATCAGTACGCTCACTTTCTGAGGAAGGTTTGTAATGTGGATCTTCAATTGAACAATAAACACCTGGTTTAAGCTACACCTAAGGAAACTGTACACTTGAAAATCTCCACAGGATTCTGTGGGAAGGATTGTAAGAAATCAGATTGATTAAATGCTTGTAAATAAGAGGTATAGGAACAGCTGTACATCTGTCAAAACATACCCATGGGCAGACATAAATTCTGATCATGTACAAGTTGTAGATAATTTCAAAGTCAAAATGAAGAAGGTTACAACTAAGTCTACGAAGAAGTATGATGTTAGAAAACTGAAAGATTACAATGTTCGACTGAAGGTGAGTAAAAATCTCAATACAAAGGTGCTAAAATGCAAAAAATGCAGGAACTATAGAGGAAAGTCTGACCATCATACAAGAAACAGTAAAAGAACGAAAAGAACAACACCTAAAGAAAGATACAGAGAAACGAAAATCGTAGATGACCGATAAAATTACTTGTACTTATGGATCAGAGGGAAAAAAATAAAGAAAATCTTCAGGAATATAAGACAATATATAATCATCGTCAAAAAAAAATAAGAGAAGTCAAATAGAAACAAAAAGCAGAACAATATCAACTTAAATGTTCATCGAAAGGTGAAGGAAACAGCTAGAAAGTTAAACACCACAGCGGAAAAATAACAGATCATCAAGACAATCTTGCCATAACCAAAGAAGACAAAAGGAAAGTATGAGAAGAATACTTGGAGAAACTTTACAAGATACAAGAGCTCACGATTGAAGAAAATTCAGGTCTCGAAATCCTACCAGAAGAAATACGCAGTCGTCAGACAAATGAAGGATGGAAAGGCACCAGGACTTGATTAAATTCCTGCAGAACTGTTAAAGCTATTAGGTGCAGAAAAAATAAAAATAATAACTGAAATATTTAATGAAATATATAAGGCAGGAAAAATACCAGTAGAGTGGCTCAAATCTGGGATCGTACGATTGCCCAAAAAACCAGAAGTAAAAGTTTGTGACGATTATAGGACCATAAGCCTAATGAGCCATCTGCTGAAGCTGTTTTTAAAAGTTATCCACAAAAGAATTTATCGGAAATACGAGGAACAAATTGCGCCCAATCAGTTTGGATTTGTGAACACCGTTGGTCCGAGGGAAGCTTTATTTAGCGTGCAGAAGGATACCATGGATAGACAAAGCCACCAATGAAGAAGTACTGTTAATTTGATCAAAATAGTGAAGGGCCGTAAGCTGCAGGGAACCAGGCTACTTGGGACATATATTGAGAAATCAAGGCAGATACGAGCTACTTCAATGCATTTTGCAACGTAAAATTGAAGGAAAAAGGGCTCCAGGACGAAAAAGAATATCCTGGCTTGCTAACCTGAGAGCATGGTATAAAAAGACCTCAACACAGCTATTTCCTATATCAACCAACAAAGGCATCATAGCTAGAATGATCGCCAACGTTCGGAACGGACAAGCACCTTAAGAAGAAGAAGAAGGTTCTATTGAAAATAACAAAGTTTACGTCAACTTCCATAAGTGCCACAATGAGGAGAACATTATATTTCAACTCAGTGTCATCCAAAACCTACACCTTAGAAATTTCACATTTTTAACATAACTACACACACTTCACAGTGTGTCAACCAGCCTACTGAGCCTTTATGTCGATTAAACATATAAATCAATTCATTGTAATTTTCAATTTTATCAAAACGTATTTTCTATTTGGGCATTCTGTTTATTTCCTGGCAAAGGAGATATATGTTGGCATTTTGCAAAAAAGAGAATCAAAGAAACGAGACCATCACGTCGATTGAAATGACTTTATACATAAAAGTTCTATATTTAAAAATAGTAGAGCCAATAAAGCAAAATATCCTAATACCGAAACAACAAATGGAAAAAGTCAAAAGCAAACAACTAAAATTGAATGCGCAATTTAAAAAGTTGATTGTAATCGCTGCTGTGATTATCTAAAACAATATGTAGCAAGAGCAACCAGTCACACGAAACTGCTATACACTCAAAAACATGAATACGGGAGTTTATTTAAAAGTGGTTGTATATGAAGTAGGCACGAAATACAAAATTTCAGAAAATACTATTAGTTTTATATTACATTGACCTATATTTTTACCATGAAGTTTAATTGAACATATGTATTTATTTAATGTACTTAACTAATTGTAGGCTTGGTTTGAGTACCTGATTTTTTGTTTTACTTTTCAGACGGTTGCGAGAGCAAAAAGTGTGATTTTTACTCAGAATGTGAAAACGACGGAACATCAGAAGGACATTGTGTTTGTCCACAGTCATGTCCTGATCCTAAGGTGAGTAGATGCTTGTATTTAAAATTTTTGTAAAGATGAAAGAAATATTGTAACTTGTCATGTCCAATAGTGGTCAGTTGTAGGGATAATACAGCTACAATCCAAACTCATAAAAGGAAAAGTGCTAGATCCAAGCTAATTAAGGCGCATAGTGCAAGAGTGGCCTAACTCGTAAAAACTGATTTTGAGAAAAAGACGATTTAAGTTTTATTCAATTTGACTGCTCTCTATATCTCCAAGAATTATTAACCTTAGTTTTGAATTTCAACACCTTAAATTAAGTTAGTAAATTTCATTTTACATTAATATCACAAAAAAGTAAAATTTTCAAAATCTTTAAAAAAAATTGTAGGCCACTCTTGCACTAACATTATATAAATAAAAAAAATAAAGTGCGTTTTGCATAAAATTTTTACCAAATTTGCATACAAAAAGTGAACAAAAGCCAAAACAATGCCATTAACTAATTTTTTTTTATAAACATTTATTCCATCGTTTGTTCGGAATCTTCTGTAGCGTAAAACACCTTATCTTCTCTATCATCATTATTTTGTATACGTTGATATAAATTTTTAACATTTAGATTGTTATAAAAGTTATATAAATTAGGTGGTACATACACTAACAAATCTTGTAAATTGCTAAATTTAGCTGCTTCAATGTCTCTGGCATTTGGGTATAAAAGTGGAAGTTTTCCAATAAACGTAGATGTATGGCGCTTCGGAATGTTTATATGTTTAAAAATAACCTCCGGGTTGTTAGATTTTTTTTAATACAATTGTAATGCTTCAGTTAAAGAGTATCGCAACCATTGCATTTTTAACCAGTTTACCGGTTTACCTTCGACAATCTTTTTACGATTAGTAATGGTTTTCTCTAATGAAACACTATTCACGAAATCGTTGCTGATCATTTCTACTAGTGTGAATGTTTTTTTTTTTTTGTTTTTTTGGCTGTCCTAATCACTCTGGTTCAATCTCCGGGAACATAAATATCATTAAGAGTTTTTAAAAGTTAAAAAGCCCAAGTAAACGTTGGGCTATTACTGCACGACCGTTTGTCAACAAATCATAATACGCCAAAGTGAACTTGATCATTCCTCTACCGGCAGTTAAGTCAAATCGACGTGGGCCATTATTGCACACGATAGATTATTACAAATACTAAGGCTTGGTGTTCTCACTCAAACTCAAATATAATTTTTTTTTAGTTGGGCCACTCTTGCACTATGCGCCTCAATTATCCATTTAATTCCTTACTAATACTTTTCATTTCCTTCTTACAGTCTTCCTCTTCTTTTACAGGGTTTACCTTTAGAGCCCTTCTTTATTGCTTTCTAGAACTATCTTGTTGAGTTATCAGTCATAGGTGTTTGGATTTATTTTGCTCAAGTAGTGCAGTTTGTAGTAGCTTAAGTTTGTAGTTCCTAAATATGCAGTTTAAAAACTAGCTAGAAACAAATCACCCGAAATAGATAATCTCCCAGCTGAACTATATAAAGAAGGTGGCTACGATACCATAATGACATTACAGCTTTTACAGCAAAAGAAATATAGACACAGAAATCCCCACCACCCCCAATGATTGGAATATTATGCACCATACACAAAAAAGGAGATATCTTAGAATGCTCTAAACCAGTGATTCTTAACTTGTGGTCCGCGGACCACCTGTGATCCAGGAACGGTTTTCATGTGGTCCGCGAATTGAACAGTCATAAAATAATAATTAATTTAAATCTTGGATCTTGAGACGTAAATTAATGTGTCTGCCTAATTGTCTTAACTCAAAGCGTTTCCAGACGACCTAACGCGCCTGGACACAGGTTCACCTCAATCTTCCGTGAATTTTCCCTCACGCGCCGAATAGTTAGTTCCGTTATCTTCGTTTTTTTTTCGGCCGCTGGCGTGTACGTATAGGACACTGCGTTTTTGATTGAGCCTCGCGCCACTACTCAGTGACTCAGTGAGTCAGTGTTAACTCAACCACAGTATAAAGAGGTTCCACAGTAAAACTACTCGTCTGTCGGCACTTTGATCTCAGGAAGTACCGGCAAAGTACGAAATTGGTAATCCACCACCGTTAACCTTACAGAGCCGTATTAAAATTTTCTGACCTTACTGCTATTAATTTATTTAAATAAAAAATGCAGCTTCCCATATTTAACTGTCCAGATGTTCTCACTAAATGTTAATATTACAAAAACAAAGGGTTTAATAAATTAAAAACAATATTATAATTCATTGTTTATATTTTTCAACGGTATTTTAAATATCAACGGTATTGCGCAAGTTTTAAAATCTCAATGGTTTTTAATATATTGTACATGTCATATAAACGTTAAATAAAAAGGAGGTTAATTTCGAAGCTCTCACGGCATCGGCATTACTATACTCTGTTTTTAAACCAGGAGGAGTAATTCAAGTTTACCGCGTCATAACGCTTGTTTATAATTCGTCCAACGGTAGGCAAGTTTACTCCACTGTTATGAAATTTTGACATTTATGAAATTTTTTCCTTATTTACATTTCGTAGGTGAATTTGGTTATATCGGCGATTTTTTGTGTTTTCTGCATTATTCGTTTAGTTTTAGTTGTAGTCTGCAAAAAATTAATTAAATTTTGCAATAGTCTTTTCGTCAAATCAATCGCGTAATGTGCAAGAATACATCAATTAAAATTCAAACTGCTGAAAAGATGTTTTGTGGTGATTTTTAGCCACAAATTTAAATAAAAAAAATTCTCTTCATCTTTCTTATTTTTAACAATTTCAACAATTTTTTAATAAAATAAACGAATATCAACTATTCTAATTCGGAAATAAGCTACAATTTAACTTGAAAAAATAATTTTATTAACGTTTCGTCTTCCAAGTCAGACGTCGTTGTCAAAATACAAAAATAAATTGTGTCCTAGTAAGGACGTGAGGAGTCAGATCAACAAAGCATCTGCATTGTCAGGATGTCTGCCAGAGATAGTCTAGTCAAATCCATTTTTAAACTATAAGTAAATACAGTGATCAAAGGAGAATGAGTTGATGCGTTTTTAAGAAAATTATGTCCAGTGTTATCTATTACACAATATTATCCACTTTCAGTAACATTTAGGTTGTATGAATTAGAAATCAGTCTTAAGAATAAAAAAAATACTTCGCCGGAATAGAATATATGTACGTTATATTATGTTGAAAAATTTATATCAAAATAGAAAAATAACACTATTAAATTTTTTAAATCAAGAACAAATCAAATCAGAAGATATTTCAGATAGTTGGAGAGAGTACCGGGTGATTGCTATTCTCCTCCTAAAAAAAATGAGGAACTTGGACAATATATTGCAAAATAGCTCTTGAAATAAATATAGAGCTGCATAAGAATTTATTATATTATAGAAGAAGTAATTATCAAAAAAATACATTATAAAACTAAATTATGAATTACTTAACTAACTAAATTATCAAAAAATATAAAAAGGATTATTTATTAGAAATTAATGTTAGTATTAGTTTTACGCATAAAATTGTATACAAAAATGACTTATAAGTAAAAACAAAAATTAAAATTTGAGAATGTATTTAGTGTCCGCAGTTATATAAACCCAAACAAAAAACACGTTTTAAAGCTAATTATGTTTCCAAATTATTTATTTCCTATGTTCTTTTGTCTTAGATACTTTAAAATTTCTATTAATTATTTTTAATGTGTAATATATTCTTATTCTAGCCTATAATCTAATGAGATAGCCCTTTGGAAAATTGCTGCAAGGATGCGTATATGGTATTTTTTCGAATAAGCTAACGTAGTTTTGTAAGATTTTCGGTTGATGACTAAAATTTTGAAAATTCTCTTGAAAAATATAATTTCCAAATCTGTAACATACTGCACAAAATTTTGGCTCGGCATATAGAGCTTGCCAAAAACGTTTGTTTCATTACCACTGTAGGCTTTAACGTAACAAAACAGACACGAATCGTGTAGTTCATCGTACTCTCTCCCATATGCTTCACAGATTAGACAAACATGTTTCCTAAGACTTGTGAATATATATATATATATATATATATATATATATATATATATATATATATATATGAAATAACGAGAAGTCGAGAGACCTCTCTGATAGCAAACTAGGTGAACCGCAAATTCAAAGCCTCTTGCTAGAGGCTTTCAACGACGCTAGAAGTACATTTTTACTTCGACAATGTACTTCTAGCGTCGTTGAAAGCCTCTAGCAAGAGGCTTTGAATTTGCGGTTCACCTAGTTTGCTATCAGAGAGGTCTCTCGACTTCTCGTTATTTCATATAGATGTCGCTGCTAGCGTACCCTGGCTATTATTTTAGTTATAATCGCCAACTACTAGACTGCATTTCATTTCGGTTGAACTTCCACAAGAGCTCCTGACGATGGGTTGAATAACCCGAAACACGTGTCGGGCTATGGTGGAGTTCCTATCGAAATGAAATGCAATCTTTTACTTTCATATATATATATATATATATATATATATATATATATATATATATATATATATCTTGTGAAGTTTTTCTATAATTTATTTGAAGTTTGATATTTTTGGTCATCCAAAGTGTTTTCAGGAACCAAAGCAGTGGTTTCAGGCAGATAATCGTCGGTACATATATCGGTTAAATTTAACAACATATGGCCTGCATCTCTTTCTCAATTTTCTGTACCGGAATGCATCATGTCTAAACAAAAATATCTTTTGAATGCTGCGGTAAATTATACCGGAGTAGGGTTAACACAATTGCCACCTTGCTGCCTGATTGAACCAAAAAAGGCTGCTAACTGTAAGTAAAATCCCGACTACATAGCATGTGGATTTACATTTATTGAAGAATTTGGTGTCCAGTTACCTCAATGTGTAATTTGCGCGGAGGTATTAAGGCAACGAAGCCGGCAAAATTAACTAAACACTTTGAAATAAAGCATAAAAATTTTGCTGGAAAACATGTAGATTTCTTTAAGAGGAAGAAGACG